ATGTCAAGGACGATCAGTCTCTATGGGTGACTGTAACGGTGATTTCTCTTGTCTGAAATCCTTCATTTAAAGTTTTGCTCTTATTTGAAGAACTGTTGACCCTGTGAATGTGTAGTTTTGTAGCAACACGAACCTCTGTATCAAATTGTAGCTCTGTCCGAAGATGTAGCTCTGTGTCAAGATGTAAGCTGTAGTAAGATTTAGCTCTTTATCAAATTGTAGCGATGCATCTGGATGTAGCTCAGTAGGAAGCTGTAGCTGTGCAGCAATGGTGTAGCTCTGTAGCTTTGTATTAGTTGGCGTAAACTAGCAGTTATTTATGAGGTTGGCTGCGATAAAGCGTTAGTAGATGAAAGACTAAACCCATTTTTAACAAGTATAATTAAGCCACGATGAAATAGAGAATAGTGGCCTAATGGTAACGTTGTCGTCAAAAGCCTGAAGAATTCTTCAGATAAAAACAAAAGTCAAAGCCGGCATAGGAAATAAATATTCCAGGAGATCGATCAATAACGATAATCAATCAATTGGGCGCCGGTGCGTGGTGGAAAGCTGATAGATCTTAACGATTCGTGGCATTGAAAAGTTTGAGAAGCACTGAATTATAATGTCAACAATTGTGCTGAATGACTTAAAATGTGAGGGTTTTTTTTATAATCGGATATAAAAATACAAGAAAATTAGTGATAAGATAAAGGAGCGAATTCACCAGATTCTAATATTGGTTCACACTATTTCTAAATGAGATAATCCACTGCAGCCTCTTCTTCTATTGTATGATTGAAATTACTTCCCTTATGTGATATACCTCCGCTACGACTAGTGACCGTATCCAGGGCTGACCTTGATCAGGTCTATTTGTTCTTCGCTACCAACAGACACTTGGTAATTTTGATTTCAAATAATATTTTGCGACTAGTCTGTGCCAATACTTGGATAACGTAAAAAAAAAAAAATGTCACACATGTTTGCGAAATTTCCTATTCCTAGGACTCTGGGGAAGTCGGTTAAACGTCAACCTCAAAAGTAAACGTGACAAATTACGTGATCATGTCACGTTGAAAACACCGAGGGAATAGCAGTAGAATTAAATTCATACGTATAGTTCAATCGACGCTTTCTGAAATGGACCCCAAGAAACTCTACTATCTGGCGTCTCTGGTCACACACGTCGGGGTGATGGCTCTTCAAGACGTGAGGGACGGCAACCCCCGCTCGGCCCAGGAAGCGTGCTACTGCCTCCGTCTGGTGGCCGAGCACCTGCACAGCCCCGTGGCGGCCATATTTTACAAGGAGCACGGCCAGGGGCGCATCCTGGTCGTGGAGCAGAGGGGCGTGGTCGTCAAGCTCGGAAGCGACGGTGCGAGGCTCGGCACCTTCATGGACCTACGGGACCGGGTAATGACGTCGGAGAAGCACGGGGAAAACCGGGGGATGCTGTCTCTAGTGATGGATCCAAGCTATGACGTCAAAAAGAGGGTTTACGCCTACTACATCAGGTGAGTCAGGTTTAAGTCTAAACACCGAGTCATCAAGAAATTAATTAATTTCTTGTTGTAATTAAATTGTTGCACGGTGAGGCTACTCGGCATGTTGCGTCACAATTTGTAACATCTAGTTTTACAGTTAGGAGATTCAGAAGAAAATATGCAGTCCAACCCCCCCCCCCCCCCCCCCCCCCCCCCCCCCC